CTAATGTGATGCCACGAGATAAAATGAACCTGATATTGTAACTCCATCCACTCCAAAGACCTAATGAACTAACGACATGATGCACTGATCAATTTAGGCCGCCAAACAGAAGTAAGTCAATTATCTTTAAGGGAAGGTCTCATTCATGTAACATGAGCAGAATTAAACCAACTGCTTGCTCGGTGGTTGGTTGGCGGGTGCTCTGATGTGTGGTTTGCTCTTTCTTTCCCATCCAAACATCTATATCGTCTTCATATCTCCTCCGTACTCCTCTTTGTATGCTGATCTCTAATCTCTAGTAACACTTCTAATCTTCAGCATTAATATGACCTATTTGTGTTGCAAGAACTGTTGCGAAAAAAACAAAACAAAATAGAAATACCTCAACCAAAAAAATAGAAGAAACTATTGTCTCCTAGTACACTCATCCCTTCCCTCTTTTTAAAATTTTTTACTGCTGATCGCGTTATCTGATCTACATTTTCTTTGTAGCTGGAAAAAGATATTATTATTCATGTGTGTGTTTTTTAATGATATTTCCTGGGTTTGTTCTTTTCGTCTGTAAAAGTTTAACGTCACCTCCAATACAAACATTTCATATTATAAATGCCGAAGACATTTATTTTTTTTTTTATGTACATGCTACTAGAAAATAACATACAGAGAAGAGAAAGAGGCGAGATATGGACGAGAGATGTTGAATTGGAAAGAACGAATGATCAAACCATACATACCAGAGCACCCACCAGCCTCTCGTGTGTGTTTTAACAAAAATAAAATTAATTAACTATTCCTTTATGTTCATTACGTTACAATATTGCTCTAGATCATGTTTCTCTTTGTTTGATGTTTCATTACATGGCGTGCTTCGTTTCCACTGCTGCCTACTTCAATGGTTTCATTAACCTATATTTACGTTTAGGAGTGTGTCGTTTTGTTTTTGTTTCTTTTTTTTTTGTTTTTATTTCTGTTTTTGTTTTTGTTTTGTTTTTTGTTTTGTGTTTTCTTCTGTTGTTGATTCGGGTCCTTTGTGTCTTTGAAATTGGCAGTTCTACTGCTCTGGGTTAGGGTTACAAATATTTTTCTTCATTAAGTCGGTCTGCTCGATACGATTGGCAGCGTTACTGTGCCTCGTGAATGGTTATTGCTGAGTTGTAATACGACCAGACGGAGTTTTCATTAGGAGTGAGTCGGCCCTTGGGGACAGAGAGACAGGAAGTGAGTGAGAGAGGGGAGAGAGAGAGGGGGGAGGGAGGGGGAGAGAGAGAAAGAGAGAGAACAGAGAGAGAGAGA